CTGGGATCATGACCTGAGCCGAAGGCAGTTGCTTAACCAACTGAGCCACTCAGGCGCCCAAAAAAAAAAAAAAAAAGTGGTCAATGTCATTATTCATAAGACAAATGCAAATAAAATCGCAATGATATCCATTCATACCAACTAGAATTGGCTAACATTAAAGTCTGATAGTACCGGGGAGCCTGGGTGGCTCAGTCAATTAAGCATCAAACTCAGTTTCAGCTCAGGTCATGGTCTCAGGGTCATGAGATCAAGCCCTGCATAGGGCTCCATACTCAGCACAGATTCTGTTTGGGATTCTCTCTCTTCCTCTCCCTCTGCCCCTCCCCCTCCATGCTTGCTCCTCTCTCTTTCTCTCTCTCTCTTTCTCCAAAACAAAAAACAAAACAAAACAAAACTTAAAGCCTGATAGTACCAAAAGTTGGTGAGAATATGGAACCATTGCAACCATTTTGGAGAATTATTTCTATAAAGTTATACCCATATAATCCCATTCCTAGTTATCAAGAGAATGAAAATACTTGTCCACAAGAAGACTCTATGAGCATATTCAGACAGGTTTTATTTATGAGAAACCAATACTGGAAACAAATGCCCATCAACAACAGAGTGGATAGATAAATTGTATAGCCATGCAAGACTCAGTTAAAGAAAGGAACTACTGGTGCGTGCCACAACATGGATGACTCTCAAGAATGTTGTGTTAAGTGAAAGAAGCCAGTCACAAGAGTATATGCTACACCATTTCATTTATAAGAATTTCAGGAACAGACAAAACTTACCCATGATAATAGATATTAGGAGTGAGGATTGACTAGAAGGGGCCAGAAAAGAACTTTCTAGGGTGATGGAAATGTTCTATATTTTGTTTGGAGTGGTGATTACATCAGTGTATACATTTATCAAAGCAAATGAGATTGTACTCTAAAATCCACATTTCAGTTATACATATTTTACCCCAGTAAAGAAATAAAAGAGGGGCGCCTGGATGGCTCAGTCATTAAGCATCTGCCTTTGGCTCAGGTCATGATCCCGGGGTCCTGGGATCAAGCTCCACATTGGGCTCCCTGCTCGGCAGGAAGCCTGCTTCTCCCTCTCCCACTCCCCTGCTTGTGTTCCCTCTCTCGCTGTGTCTCTCTGTCAAATAAATAAAATCTTAAAAAAAAAGAAATAAAAGAGACTGTAACTATTTGTTTTTAAAAGATATCCATTCATATGCAAGGTAGAATGTTGACTCTCTAATAGCTTCCTTTTGTGAACAATAAATTTATAAACCTTGGCTAAAAACTCTGCATGATTTGGCTCTTGCTTACCCTTTCTACTTCATGTCCCTTTTTTACCTACCAGGTCCTACCTAACCCTGCTGACTTTACTGTCCAGAGTAGGTCATTTCTTGATATTTTCTAGTTCAGTCTTTTCTTTGTCATCTTAATTGATTTAAGATAATTTGCATTTATTTTGTCTCTTTCTCCATTTTTACCTTGTTTGTTTCACCATCATGTTCCCTAGTGTATTCCCAGGATATTTCCTGGCTCAGTGAGTATTTGTTGAATATGTGAATGAATGAATGAATGAATGTTCCTGTCGTTTTATATGTTGATAAAGTGGTAGTCTACTCAAACATTCCTCTGTTTGGAATTACCAATTCGAATACAAATGACATAGTCTTATCTCTGTAAGCAAAACAAACCTTTAATAAAACAGTGTCTCAAATGAGTTTTTGGTTGATGCAACCAAACTTTTTGTATAATGCAAGGGAAGTTTTTCATCCTTTTCCCTTTCCAAAATCCCTACATAGTCTTTCCTTCTATTCCCTAACCAGAGTGTCTTACACAAGAGACCTAATAACATGACAATGCTTTCTTTGATCCTGTACCCTATTGGTAAAATGTTTGAGCACACTAACCACATAGGTACATTCATTTATTTCAAAAACAGTAATATGTTGCTGTACTGCTATATAATGAAACATGCACAAAAAATAACATTTTAAAAGGACAGGATGAAAGATAGTTCTAACATTTTCCTCTGTACTAAAGCGGAGGATTGTGTACCACCCCACCTCCACTTGTGCTCATCCCACTTTGCAGACAGTGCCTTGGGGCAAAAATTATACTACATTTTCTTATACATCTAAATATAAAACTATGGTGGACTTAACCCTTTTGCATCTTACCCTTACCTCTGACTCTGGATTGAAAGGATTTATTGCTTTTTAAATGAAGTTATGGTGGGGCGCCTGGGTGGCTCAGTCGTTAAGCGTCTGCCTTCGGCTCAGGTCATGATCCCGGGGTCCTAGGATCGAGCCCCACATCGGGCTCCCTGCTCTCCAGGAAGCGTGCTTCTCCCTCTCCCGCTCCCCCTGCTTGTGTTCCCTCTCTTACTGTGTATCTCTCTGTCAAATAAATAAATATCTTTTAAATACATACATACATGAAGTTATGGTATTTTTTAGTGCAGGTAGAGTAGAATTTTTAGGCCTGGGACACACTCTGAAATCATCTCGTCTAATTTTTACTGTACTTAATTTTAACATTGTTCAATAATAGTTTTTCTACAGAATATGTATTTTAGAAGGAAGAAATAGTGAGAATAGAAAAGTAGGAAGGGGAGATAAGAAAGAGGTATAGAAAAAGCTATGTTGACTTTTAAAATAGTTAAATATTGGTAACAGTTCATTTGAATGAAATGTTGTCACCTTGGGGGATTACCAACTATAGAAAATTAGCAGTTCGTACATCTAGATAAAGTGCTAAAAATGGCAGAAACATCACTATTCTCTGATAAAAAGACAGTCTTTAATGAGCATCAACTCTACCATATAGCAGCCTGAGACAGGTTTGGAGATTTTAAGCCTGCTGTGTTACCTGTGAGACCTAAAGGAAGCAGAACATAAAAATGAGCCTCTATCAATTTGAAGCAAACCTAATCTTTGTGATCATGGCTATGGTCTAAATCTATTAAAGATGTTCAAATTCAGTGTCCTTGGTATCACTGTGACTTGACCTGAATAGTGAGCAATAAACTTGTGTATTATAATTCTGGTTTGAAGATATGTGCTTAGGAAGTGAAACCGACAGTCAGTGTTTTATGTCTGTCTCTAAGCAGACTAAGAGCCTATATAAAATGACAGGTGCATTTTTAGGGAAAGAAACCCATAATGTTTTCCTATTTAGTAGGTGACAGTATGTCCCAAGATAACACAAGCTTAAGGGGCCAGAACAAGCATGGTTATTAAAGGCTAGCAGTTTCTCAGTTCATACAAATTGAATTTTTTTGTAGGCTAGAAGATTGTAGAAATCTAGTGTAGAGTACTGAAATAAATTAGCATATTAAGTGAATTTATACATTCAGGCTTGTGAGCACTTTGAATTTAAGGAAGAAATTTTATTACTTCTTGAGAGAAAAAAGGCAATTCTTAAATTCTGTGTTTGATCTCCCTATTACAAAGGGCCTATGTGATAAATTATATCATTTTGATGATTATCCAAAGTAGTAGATATTATATTGATGGGAATCTTTCTCTCTTCTTTCTTTTTTCAGAATTACTGATTTAGGGAACATTAAAAGAAGATTATATTTATCAACGGTCCATAAGGAACTGTCCTCAACTCCTCTTCATGCAAAAATCCCACTCTTCATGATCAAGCGCAAAATTGTAAGTGTCACATGAATGTTGCTTAAAATATTAAATTCAATTCAGCAAATATTAATTATGGGCCTACTCTGTGTATAAAGCACTTTGTTAAGTACCATGGTCATATAAAAATGAATAAAATTCATACTCTTCCTTTCTCTTCCATGAAAGAGCTTAAAATCTACTAGGTGGGAGAATATAATTATTTGAACATCTAGAATATCACTAAAACTGTGGTGGGAAGCACAGTAGAGAGAGAAGGTCTACCAGTACTATGAAAGGGAAAGAAATCCATTTGACTACAGGATGAGGAAAGGCTGCTTGAAAAAGACTACATTTAGTTCGGCCTTTGAAGGACTGTAAGATTTCAACAGGTAGAGATAGGAAGCCAAGCATTCCAAGCAGAAGTAACAACATGAACAGAAGCATGAAGGCTGGAAATTGGTATGTATTTGGAGAAAAAAGAGTGATTAATCATTGTTGCCAGATTTTTTTTTAATAGCCTTAAGGAAACATCAATCCTACAATACAACAGTCAGGTATAGGTTGGGAGATTTTAGGCCTATTGTGTAACCTCTAAGACCTAAAGCAGCAATAAGGTATGAGTAGATAAGCAATAAGCTACAGGCCAAGAAGTTTGTTCCTGATATGACTGACTAATCTTTCTCAAATTTTAATTACTTCAGTACTACTCTCATGATTTTACCATGTTTTTGTACAACTTGTTCTAATATGTACTTAATACTTTACTTTAAATCAGCTTGCCTCTTTGGGGGCTTAAATACATTTATTTTAAAAGAAGTCTTTAACCACTTCCTCAAATACACAGACACCAATGTAAGGAAGGATCATGAAAAGTCAGGTAAATATGACACCACCAAAGGAAACTAATAAAGCTTTAATAACTGATCCTAAGGAGATGCAGATCTGTGACTTGTCAGACAAAGAATTCAGAATAGTCTTCTTAAAGAAGTTTAGTGACCTACAAGAACTTACAACGAGACAACTAAATAAACTTAGGAAGACAAGCCATGAATAGCACAAGATGTTTGACAAAGGAATGGAAACCATCAAAAATAAACAGAAAAATACAGTAACTGAACTGAAGAATTCAGTGAAGAGCTTCAAAAGCAGATTGAACCATGCAGAAAAAAGAATCAGTGACCTAGAAGACAAGAAAATTGAAATTATCCTGTTGGGAGTAAAAAAGAAAAAGGAATGACAAAGAGTGAAGAAAGCCTATGGAAATTATGAGACACAAGGAAAATAAACAATATTCACATTATGAGAATTCCAGAAGAGAAAGAGAAAGGGACAGAAAGTATATTTAAAGCAATAATGGCTAAAAACTCCCCAAACCTGGGGAGAGAAATAGATATTCAGGTCCAAGAGGCCCAAGGGACACCAAATAGGACTACACAAACATATTATGATTAAATCGTCAGAAGTCAAAGAAAGAATTTTAAAAGCAACAAGAGAAAAGAGAGGTTAAAAGTTACAAGGGAACTCCCATAAAGCTATGGGCAGATTTCTCAATAGAAACTTTTCAGGCCAGAAGAGATTGTGATGGCATATTCCAAATATTGGAAAAAAATTAAAAACCAACAAAGAATACTATACCTGGCAAAGCTATCTTTCAGAAATAAAGGAGGGATAAAGACTTTCCCAAACAAACAAAAGCTGAGGGAATTCATTACCACTATATCTGCCTTACAATAAATGCTAGAGAGAGTTCTTTGAGTAGAAATAAAAGGACTCTAACAACATAAAAACATAAGAAGGCAGTGTAAAACTCACTACAATGGTAAATGTATAGTCAGAGTAGGAGTCTGTAATAGTGGTACATAATTCATTTACAATAATATTAAATTGCATTCACCCTTCTATGTTTTAAGTATTGATTTCCTTATTCATCTAAGATTTTTTAGAGTACAAAATGTGGTTTCAAAGAGTTAAATCATATACGAAACCAATACGCCATTCTGTGTGTGGTTAATAAATAAAATCTGTCATTACCTTGCTTTTGTGAATTCAGTCACCTTTGTCAGTTAACTAATTGAAGTTCTGGATATTTTGTTAAAATCTGAACTGATTATTCTGTACATGGATATCATCCACAGACACAGAGTAGTATGCCTTTCATCTAGTGACATTTGTAGGAATACAGTATTTGAAAATAAAATATTATCTTTTTTACAAGTAAACCTTGATGAGATAGAAAGTGAACTTGACTGAGCCATATTTCCTATTTAATAAATGAGTCAGATGAATATGTGCCAGTGGCACCAGATATCTCATAACATAAGAAATGTACTACTTAAACTAAAAAATAAAAATTAAAAAATTAAAAAAGTGTAATAGGTCCTGTGGGGCAGTGTTCTGTAACTCATCTACCTCAACTTCCCACCTTCTAGTCAGATAACTCAATGGAGAATAGTTACATGTAGTTTTAAAAAAATCCTCGTACAAAGAAAGCAAACCAGTCATTATTTTAGGTAACTTGAGCTCATGCTAAATTTTAAAGGCAAAACAGTCATAACATATCTAGAACTTTTTTTCTGAGTGTGGTTGAGTCTAGAAAGAATTGCTCACATACATTTGAGACAGTCCTAAGAAAGAAGCAAAGAAAAGGTATTTTTTTCTATAGTGTTCCCCATCCCAGTAAAATCACCAAGTCATACCTACTTGTAATATGTTCTAATCTATATTTTGTTAAATATAAACATGTAAATACTATGTAGGGGTTAAGAGCATGGTATCTGAATTCTTACTAGTTATGTGACCCTGTGCCAGTTCCTGTGTTTATTTTCCTCACCCATAAAATGCAGATAATATGAGATATACTTCCTATTAAGGTTGTTATGAAGACTTATGCAAGTAAATAAACATAAGACTTTTAGAACAATGCCTGGCACAGTCTAAGCCCCAGATAAGGATTATAGCTCCGATTTGCTATTTAGTTGCTACTTCTTCCAGGAAGCCCTCCATGATTTCCTCTCTGTGGAATAGCTCTTTGGGGCATAGTTCACCATTGCCATTCACAATTTCATAATCCTTTTAACACTTCTTCACCCTGTGCTTGAATCATGTTTGCTTGTCTATCTCCCCACCTTTAGACTACAAGCATGTTTTATGTTACTTTTATCTCTAGTCCCATTAAGAACATGGCACATAGTAAGTGCTCAATAAATATTTGTTGAACAAATAGGCAAGTCTTACTGTGCCTCCTGATGTGGGAAATAAAATAAATGAGTTTGTCATGGACCTTTCTAAATGCACTTGATGATTCTAGAAATATTCTGTACTATTCAAGCAAATATTAAGAAATTCAGTTCTAAAACTTGTACTCATTTCCCCTCAGTTTCCTCCCAGTTGAAGAGATGCTACAGCAGCAGAGAGTCTTTCATTTCCACTGTTAATATAGTCTATTCCCATTGAGCCCTTATCAAATTAAAGCTGAGCCATGTTTTAGGGGAACCTTGTATGGTGAGAAGCAAGGTGAGAGAGAACACTCCATCCATTAAAAATGCCATCCCTGGGCCCTCCTTGGTGTTGGTGTGGTCTTGCTCTAGTTCTCTACTTTTTGCCAAAACTTTCTTCATTTCTACTTTTTAGGAACTGTAGATATTTTGGTCATAAACCTTGAAACACGATGTTTTTAAAGCTCTTCAGCTAATGTTTATAAATCAGAAGTTATCAATATTGTCTGTTGTGCAGTGAGCAGTCAGCTGGAGCTGAGTGGCAATTGCACACTTTTAACAGAGCTTTAAGCTCTGCTGTAGAGTTTAGTCCTTTTCACTCATAAGGAATGAAGGTGCACTCAGACCATTCCTGCTTCATTCATTTAAGTTATCTGCCTAGGCCCTCTAGGCATAGAGTTTGCAACCCCGATTTAGAGGATAATTACCAAATGGTCCACTTTGCCTTGGTTCTTTAGCTAAAACCTTTACATAGCCAAAGGCAACAAATAAATATTCTTAGAGCCACACCAATATGAATATTTATGTACAGGCAACTTACTATTCCAGTTACCATTAAATGTTCAACCTTTCAAGTAAAAAATTTTATTTTTCATGTTATTCCTAATTTTGAAGAATTCACTTTAATATTTAAATTACAACAATTTATACTTTTAACTTAGATTTTCAATGGCAAGAACAGTTTGAAAAATTAACAACCATCAGATTAAACAATGGAGGTAGTTTCTTAGTCAAGACTCACTGAAATCAATCTTACTTCTTCAGTATAATTTTAATTAGTTGGTGATAGTATCAGATGAACATCAATGTCTTGCTACCAAAGTATATATTAATGTACAGTAAATTTAATTGTATTTGAATAGGAAGTTCAGGTATGAAATACCATTGAGAATGAATCATTCATTGGAGGTATAATGAAGTGGTATGATAAATTACAATGCCAAAATCTTTTAGTAACCTTTACCACTCAAATACCCAGTGTTTGTCATTTAAATGGATAAAATTACTCTTTAGGAGTTGTACTTTCTTGACCATGACTCTGATGGAATATGTTACAGCTTTTATTACAAACTGAAAGTGTGGTATAATGTTTTTAAAATTTCCCCTAAAGATCATTTTCCCCATAAAGTCAATGATTTAGAAATTTTTGATTTTTAACAGTATTTAATTTCTTGAGCATCACTGAATGAGAAGGGAGTGGAGGAAGCAGGTTTATTTAGACCAAGATCATTTAGATATATATTTAAGATGCTAGAGAATGTCCTTTAATGAAACCATTCTAACCTAGAATCCACTATAATGCTTATGGTACTTATTTGAAGGTTTGTAAATGTTTTCATCTTCTCCATGAGAATATCATTTAAAAATATCTGTTTTTCTCTCTCTACTCACCTGTCAGTGTAATATAGATGTTTAAGAAATTTGGGGAAAGAAGAGTAATTCCATGCCTTCCTCTGAAGCCCCCAAATGGTTACGTGAATTAGGAACAACTACATAAAAATAAGTTTGTTCTGGAAAACAGATGATTATCCATTTTTAATC